ATCAGAGAACAGCAGTCTTTCAGGCTCACATCCAGCTCTGACTGAGGTTCACATTTCTTTCACTTACATTCCCATTTCCATTGTTTAGCTGTTATTTACTTTTTCAATGAAAACACTACCACAATAGCAAACCCCCTTTTCATCAGCCATGATAAACAAAAAATATTAGAAATCAACAACATGGAATCCTATACCTCTAATACACATATAATAGTCTGCTTAGGGATTCAACCTTGCAAATTATCCATTACAGTAGGATTTAGAAAAAAATAATAATTGATGATGTTAATAAGAACTTCTTTATTACATTACATAAGATAGAAAAATATAAACATCTCCGACGTTTGGCGTAAACCATCCAACAGTCAGAGTTAAAATCAAACCCAAAGCAAACAGGCGCTGTCAAGTTACCCCCCTGGGCTACTACTAAACTTCGTGCACTGCCCTATGAGGCAGCTGGTGCGTGCTGCTCTTGGGGCGAGGACATTGCCCCTCCAACACCAATGTTCCGATTGTCTCCCATCCTACACTCTTTAGATCCATTTTACTGGGGCATCATATAAAACAGCTAGATAAATTAAATAATTTAATTTTGTCACTTAAATGAAAACAGAGTTTTTATCACTTAACTAAAAACTGGACTTCAGTTGCAGCGAAAACAACAATTCATTGGGTCAGCACTGTGCTAAAGACAGTAAACCTTACAGATGAGAGGGAGGAAAATGCTTATTGCAATCCCTCTAAATTATAGAGGATGTATTGCATTAAAACACACTGCTGGGTAGCATTTAGGAAACTCTAAAAAGAGACGAATTGAAAGAGATAAAAACCTATATCCTGCTATGAAGCTTAATGAAAAATTCCCACAGATGCCAACAGATAACTCTATCAAAGCATGGCAGGTTTGGGGCCAAAGGCAGAACTGTTAAAGATACTGTGAAGATTACACCAGATTTTGAGATTCCAAAATTAAAATACTTTACAGTAGTGACTACCATGAAAAGTTTGGTTACATTTTGAAAACCATATATAATAAAGTTTTGTGATATAATGTACAGAAGTACCTTAATCTATTATCCCCCTTAAAGTCAATGAAATGCTGTCGAGAAAAGCCTGACAGTTTCATTCTAGCTACAGCATTATTAAGCAAAACACCTAGCAGATGTAGTAAAAAACCCCACGTTTCAGTATTTGACAAACCTCCCTTAGACTGTGCACTAGTGTCACAGCTTTGTCTGCACACATATTTGGCTGTTTTCCTTCACGTGTAATTGTATTTCCTGTTCACTAAGAGCTTTGAAAATCTCCAGGAGTCTTAGAAAGCATAAATTTATTGATTAGGTTGTACGGGTTGTCCTGTCAGGATTGAGGCTGAAGGGTAACTCCATCTTTCCATATGCCACCTCCTATAACAGAGGTACACAGTTCTCTGTTTCAGTAACTGCATTGTTCAGGGACGATGAAGAGCAGTTGTACTGAATATGCGTCTATTTACAATATGTCAGTCAAGGCCTACATTATTAAATATAATAACATTAAGCTCCAGCAACATTCTTGTGGGACAATACTCATGGTAAATAGTCATGGATGGATTTTGGAGGCTGTTTCTCTTCGCGGTAAAGAGCCAAGGCTACATCTATCACTGTTCACAACAACTAAGATCTAAGACAGCTGATGTTCCTTTTTAGGTGACAGCATGAGCTCTGTTTTAGAGCTTTAAAGAAAAAGCCACAGACCTTGAATTAGTTCACATAATCATTTTGACACTGCTGAAATCTATATAACAACAATGAGATATTTCACTTGTCCTAGTCAGGTGGAAGAATCCTGAAGCCTAGAGTAGTTTGTACACTATTTCACATGCTTTCCATCATCACCTTCCACCTTCAGCAAAATCATTTACTGTCTTTCACTCTAAAGGTTTATTAATTTGATCAAGGGCAAAGGATAGGTAGTATGTTCCACCAGTTAATAAAGTTTATAAAGCACTAGGGGATCTACTTGGATGAGAATCATCACAGAAATGCAAGACTTAATCAGACCAAAACCAGCTGCTAATGCCAGAGAGATGTAAAACTCATTTAGAAATTAGAAGGGGTGGCTGAGCAAGCAGACAAAATTGAAAAGTTGTATTATGAGACACAGGTGCAAAGACTTTTAACCTAAGTTAAAGTTAGGCTTTTAAGGCTTAGAAAGGAAGTACTGTGAAATGCACCTGAGGTGAGTAGTTGATAGTCAAGACACAATGGATGTCCTGGTCATAAGAATTTACAAATGGGAGGTTCCAGCTGAGAAAAAGTATTTTAGAAAATATTTAAACACTGAAGCTCTATCAATATTATAAGCTAGGAATTACAACAGAAGTGACAAAATCAGAGAGCTTTAAAAGAGCACTGTATAATCCAATGATGACTGAAAGAACAACCTGCAAGCCAGTCTGAGCAGGCACATCAGAGGCATGGTTGTGTGTTCAGAATGGTTCTGGACTACTAGTCACACACAGACTTAATAACAATATATCCATATGTATAACAGCATTCATTTGTCAATAAAGCACTAGTATCCAAAAAGAGCAAATGAATGAAAACACTAATTTCACTGCACTTCAAGACAACTCCACTGGTTCAGGTGGAGGTTTTTGGTATCTAAATCAGGTGATGTAACAAGTGTTATTACAGTGCCATCTAGTGCGAACGAGGCGTTTGAATGAAGATGGCAGATGGGTGAAATCTCTGCAGCCCAAAGCACCACCACTGCCTGCCCAAGAAGGGGAAAGCCTCTCCACTGGGGCCATGGTAGCTACAGAGGCCATCCTGCTTCCTGCAAGGAGTCAGGGGATCTGGCTCAGAGAGCAATTAGAGAAATATCTCCATTCTTGCTTTTGGGTGAATTGTCACTCAGCATCAGTGTCATGCATTTAGCATTTTTAAGTATCTGGATTATGTGCTGGGCTCCTTTTGTCCATCATAGCACTTCCTCCTCCCTCAGTTATACAACTGAGAAGAGCTTTGTGCTGACAAACAGAAAGTGCTCTGAACATGAGAAAATCTAACTCTGATCTGCCTAAATGAGGCTTAACAAGAAATAGTCTGTGAAATACTCGCAACAATTTCCAGTTCATGCCAACTGGTACTTGGGCTCTGGCAAATTTTGTACCTGCAACTGCTCAGAGATATAGAAGCTCATTTCTCTCACGATACCTGAATACTGACAAGGTGGTCAACACATCAGGTGACAAGCTGAGATGAACAATAAGAGAAACAGTGGTTAACTGTGTTGCATCTGTTAAATTCTACAGTGAAACTCTTAATACTTTCTCTACCGGGGGTTTTGCAAACTCTTTGAAGAGGAGATACAAATCCCAGCTGCTCACAAAGCTACAAAGAAAGCCCGATTAGTGTGTGTGCAGGTGACCTGGGAGCATCTCAATCAGATTCACAGGGGAACTCCATGAAGGAAGAGCCACTCCAAAAGACCAGCTTTGTTACAGAATTTTCTATTCCATCTTTTGTAAAGACAGATTTGTGTCCAAAATGAGAGTATCTGTTCACATCTTTGCCATGCAAGTGACAAATACTCCTTAAATCCACAGTAGTTTCCATGTGAACCCTGGAGACAAAAAAGAAGTTCTAAGGCACAGCTGCCAAACCAGCTTCAGAGCAGTTTTGTTCATTTAATTTCTGTCAAAATTATACAGTCTTTATAAATTTTGTGGGCAATACAGAAAAGCATAAAACTTCCTATAAAAATTCTGAGATAATTGCTTTGTGACACATGGGCTGTCCCTGCTACTTCACAGGGAAGGGCACTCAAAATGCATGTCTTGAGCAAGTACAGGAGGTGCAATTCCAGTCAGAGTGCAGTGGAAATACCTTCTTCTAGCAGGACTGTACGAATGAGCTTCACTCTCTTGCTGTACCCACTGCTGGTCACCTTTTGATGTCAGAGCTCTGCAGCCTGAGAGATACAGGCAATGAATCAAACTTGATTTACACAAGATGAGAAAATTCCTTTTGAAATCACAAACCACAAATCAGGAGAGCAGTATGCTTGTCTCCTCTCCGGCCTACACACAAACACGCACCCATATACATGTCCACTTTATTTTATAAGAGAAGTAAATGATACAACTACTACCTGCCTAACAACCACAATGCATGCAGAAATGTTTTCTATATTGCTCCACTTCCTTAAGGTCTTTCATGGAAGGATGATTCGTAAAAATAATGTATGGGCCCAAGAAGGTTTCACTGGATGTTCTCAGTGACCAAAAGCCAAAATAAAGAGAGAAGTCGTGTTTGTCTGGAGATCTCTGATCCCAAGTTGGCCAGAGACTTGTTTCAGGCTCTGCTCAAACAACACTTGAAACGATCCTTCCTGGATGTAGGGAAGAAATCCAGAATTTTTGTTCTTCCCTAGCTCCTTCCACTTAGACATTCTGTATACAGAGGTCCCACATAAATCCCAAACCCTTTGTTTTGCCATTTATGGTTCCCTAGAGTCATATTACAATAGCTTTGATTAAAATACAAACCAAGTGAGTAATTGCAGGCTTTTTAATTTTACAGTGTCAGTTTGTCATTGTAATGGATATGTTGGAACACGAAAGTCTCTTAATGAATTAAAGGAAATGCATATTTAGAAGGACTTAAAACTGCCCATGACCAGCAGCCTCATACACTCACACAAAAATAAGAGAGGAAGAATAACTTTTCTTGTCAGTGATACAAACCCCCAATAAAAATGATGCACTGTATGTCCTCCTGACTGCAGCTCTCAAAGTGCCCCGTGGCTTCATTGAATATCATTAAGCAGAACTCTTGTGTACTTATTTTGAAAAGGTCCTTTCATCTGTATGCATCCATAACACTGAAAAAAGTTATTTTTACAACAGAGTTGAATAGAAAAGAAAAAGGAAAATGCCCAGTTAATATTGTTTGTCCCCTCCAGTCTGTAACATCTCATCTTAAAAGAAGTCATACTTACATTTCAGGGATGTTTGTTTCCAGGAAGCAGATGCTTGTTTTCCCTTCTGCATGTTGTTCACCATTTGGTGTGTGTTTCACAAAAGACACGGTGAGAAGCACATTGTAGTGGAAATGCTGGGATACACTTCATTGTGAAGATCTAATGAGTAGATCTAATCACACTTGGACTGCCCCTTTGATGAGCAGAGTAAACCCAAGCATCATTAAGGAAACTGAAATTTTTCCTGACGCACACTCCAAACAAGTAGGAAATCCATTTTGACAGCTGTTGTAAGTAGCAAAATACAGGGCTGAATATTTTTTGTTATTTAAAGAACAGTAGAGTAAAATAATCATTAGGGATTTGCACATATATTAAAAAAGCAATATTGGCTGGTAGAGAGCATTTCATAAAGGAGGGACCTGCTCCCACTCCATCTCTGCTACCAGTCTTTTAAAGCAACAAGAGGGAACAGCAGAACTACAATGTCACTGCTGCAGTCATGCTACAGAGTATTTATGCATCATTGTCAATACTGCTGGCTATTCTTCTTCAAATAATATGTACCGGATTAAACAGAATTTTAAAGTAGAACACCACTTCTTCCTTCCACTTTCTGCATGAAAATTACATGCACATGTGTGCACACAGAGTGATAAATGCAGAAATGAATGCAAATTTTGTCCCTTTCAGGGAAGGCATTTCTCGGTGTTGGAAAAGGAACAGAGCTTAAAAAAAGAAAGAAAGAAAATGAAGAAGCAAAAAGACCAGAAACAAAAGATGGTTTTCCCCATATTCCAGGGCTACCAAGGCAGGAGCAGGGCTTTCTTCATGGCCCATTGCTCCCCTCCCAGTGTCTCTTGGTGTATACACATGACTCGTAGAGATTTCTGGTTTGCTGGTCTCTGCTTTCCATGGCAAAGCAATTTCTCCAGCTGAAAAAGTCAGAAGATAACGCCACACTAAGCTGTTCAATGCAGCTGTAACTCTTGCTTAGACTTCACTGGCAATTTGCCAAGTTGCACTGTCAGAATGACTCAATTTTTTTCCTGATTTTAACTTAAACCCTCAGACGTGACAAGCACCTGCAATTGGTAATGATCAGAAAGTGGGAAGTATTCAGTGACTCTTCTATTCCACCCCTGAGATCATAAGCTTACTCCACATGCTAAAGATTTTAATAGCTTTTCCTTAGCATTTATGCACTGTCCTTTTAGGAAAGCATTTTCCATTTCTGAGAGATGCGGCTCTGGCTGGACCTAGGCAAACAGAATGGCAGGGCAGGGTGACCCTGGATTTGGAAATAGGAAATACACGTTTGTACTCTGCATCTTCTTTCCATAAGGCTCCTCCCACACTGACTAAGAGTACTCCAAGATGATGTCATTCTGCTACTTTCTACCCACATCCCAAATTCTTCTTTTTGGATTTGCAGCTGTTTAACAGTGTCAGCGCCACTCCACTGTAGCCCCCAAGTTTTACTGAAATTGCTATTTACTCACTTGATGACTACACTGAATAAGGCTCCAGTTCAGCAAACACTCGTGCACCCACTCGATTTGAAGTATGCACATGGTCCAATTTACATCAGTGAAGTAAAGCACATGGATGAGTGCAGTGTAAGGACTAAGACTGAACGCAAAGTACACTTACTGGATACTGCCATACAATCATACTCAGTATTGCTTTACTTACAGTGACTAAACGTAACTAGATTTTTGTCCAGAGGAACATCCACATCCACATCTCTTACATCAATTACTCTGAGCAAAACTATTCAGTACAGTGTCTGTTAAAATGATTCCTTCACAACCACTCATTTCTTACCTCTTACAAAAATATCTCAGTCCCCCAATCACTTTTATTTGGCAAACAATTTCTAATACATAAAGAAAATAAATATACTTTAACAGATTTACCTCCCTTCACTTGCATATGGGTTTCCACTAAAAATCAGCCCTTTTCCCAAAAGCAGTATCTGCTTGATAAGCGTAAATTGACTCTGCTTCCTTTTTTTAGCAGAGGGATGTATATTAAGAAATAAAAATGCAAGCAATTGTTCCTCCTGCTTGCTATTCATTGCTCAAATACTGAAAGTCCCTTTATGAATAACATGAATTGATGTTCTTGTCAGTAGCAACAATATTTACAGAATGTATGTTACATTAAAGAGGAAATTGAAAGTAAAGATGTGATTCCACTAAAAGAGACATTGAAACATGCAGACTATCTCACCCTCACAAAGTCTGCTCACCTTTTGTCAAGATGTTTTGCTTAGTATTCATAAACCTTTTGTATTTGATGTTGACTATTTAAATCAGTTATTATCTGTCAAAGTGGGTTTCTGCAAACATTTGTGATATCAGAAAGAAATAAACAGCAAGTTATTATAAAGCATAACAAAAACCTGGGATTATTCATAAGCTCTAGAAAGTTTCCACTATTCAGCTAAGGATGTTCCCTGTGGGAAACACAGAGAAAATGTTCTGGAAGTGAAATACAGAACTAAACCAGTCTGATTCACTAAAGTCTTTCAGTGTGCCTAAGGAACTACTATAGGCTCCATTAGCGTAGCAGCTCAGTGCCAAATGGTATCACTGAAGTTGACATAGAACTTGTCATAGCGCAGACCACAAAGGTCCCATCAGTACCAGTGAGCACAAGAGGAAACCTCTTCTGAATAAATGTATCCCCACGATTTTCAAGCTGGTAGAACTGTAGTGCTTATTTCCTTCCCAATATTTGGTTAAAAAAAAAAGTTCATTTTCCTTAAAGCAATTCCTGAACTCATGAAAGGAGAAGAACGATGCATTCAGCACATAGTTCTTAGGGTGGATCGAAAATGATCACATTTTATTATTTACTTGGAGATCAATAAATGTACTTCTAGCCCAAGTGTTTTACACCCCCACAGCTGTTGAAAATATAACCAAACCTCACAACTGATAAAATCCAAATTACACTTCCTTTTCTCCATACACAGAAGCATGATGCATCAAAACATACCACAAAAAACCACTGAGAATCTAGCTTTCTTTACATTATCCAAAACTCAGACTCACCATACAGAAAAATAAGTGTAAAATAGGCCCTTTTAAACAAATGGACTTGCTGACACAGACCACTTAACAGAATTTACACAGTAGATGTTAACAAAATACATCTCTGGCTAACCAACTCCCTCCACCCCAAATTACCTAAGCCAAGTAATAGAGTGTAGTGAGTAAAATAAACTAATTAGGGAAACCCCCCCCCCCCCCCCAAAGCAACCAAAAAAGCAAAAAGAACAAAACAGGACACCTGGAAAAAGAGGGAAGGTGTAGTTATTTTTTTACCCCACTGTATTTCATCCAAAAAAAAACTATTTCAAAAGACTGCTGCAAATCTAAAAAAAAAAAAGAAAAAAAATCCTAATGATGCTGAATATATGCAGTAGGGGCCATGCACGAATGGAGAGATGATGCCTTTAACAGGTTTTTCTGTTATGGTTACATTCAAAGCAGACAATTATGCAAATAAAAAGAAGGAAAACTCTGTAGAGGAAAGTACTGCTCTCTCACAGGAATGAAAACGAAAACAGTATTAATCATATGGCTCTGGAGAATTTGGTATTAAGCACTACTAGTGACAAGAGATAAAAAACAGTAATTCAAATGCATTTCAACTGTCATATACATCCATTAATATTCCTTTCTCTCAAATTTTACATTTCTCATTTCTTTCCTCAATGAAATAGGGAAATGGCTTATGAGGAGGGATGGAAGGCAAAGAAAGCAAATCAAATGGAATTGCAACAGGTAGGTAAAAAGCAAGCCATGCTTCAAGCCACGACAGCTTCTTGAATGGATTTATATTATTGCATAACTGAAGTACTGTGCCATGATTTTGGATAGATTTGCTGAGAAGTATATTCCCAAAGCTATAGGGAAAATGCAGTTACCCAGAAAATATCACAAGAAATTGTCCTAATTTGTTCATAATAATGAAGTTGTCATGCTACAAACACAAAAATGTATATTTTTCAGTGAAAACATACTTTTTTTTTCCCCATTTTTTTTAAGCATGCCTCAAAACTTCATGCTTTTCAGGAGACAATTTCCAAAATCGACATTGGCAGGCTCATGCATCTCATGGCAATACTTGGTAAACTGGACCAATGCCTAAGATACTCTCCCTTTTGGTTGAGAAAAAACATAATTTTCTCCTAACTGGACAGTGAAACGATGCACAAGTCAAATGGTAGGACATCTGCAGTGACTGCAAGGAGCAAGAAAGCTGCAGTGGAAAATTCAAGCTACATTTTTATAATTAATCTGAAATGGAGAGTCAAACTGCCCTTAATTAGAGGGATAATTAAAATATCATCCAGAGGTGAAGGTTCAAACCCCCTTCTGTATGAAATGATTGACAAATATACTCCAGTAAAAATGCTGTTCCATTCCTACCAGCACTTCTGACAATGCTATTACGGAGCTCTACCTTTCTTGTCGTCAGTTCCTCAAGCAAGGTATTCTATCTCAAAATCAAGACAGATACCTATACACATTCCCTCTCATCATCAGCCCTGCCGATACACCTAGACATGTGCTTCAGTAGCATTCACTCTGCACACCCAGTCTGGCCCTTGTTCACATCTCATTCTCTAATTGTGCTCTCACTAATCCTCGGATGTCTCATCCCTTTCACTGTATGCATATAGAAAATTGTGACTGAACCTGTTATCTCCTTCATACACTGCTCTTCAAATTATACCATAAATTGGGACAGTTTGTTTATACAGCCACCTCCCTTTCATATGCTGCTTGCTAGCCCTTATAGTTCAATAAACTCATTATCCAACAGAAATAGTACGATGGCCTTTCTCAAAACTTACCTGAAATCCCCAATGAACAGAAATCTGTATAGTGACATGTATTTGGAAAAGAGGTTTTCCAGGACTTATCGTACAGCCTGAATAAAAATTTGACATTGTCCGAGAACAGTTCTTGCAACAGAGAACACAACCACTAATTTAGGAATGTGCTTCTGTTTTATCAGACCCAATACCTGCTTTATAAAAATATGACTCCCCTCCTACCAAGCTGCTGACCGATATATTCTGTTTCTTTTCACTGAAACTTAGTATCATGCTGTGTTTTCATGTTGAGATGAAAATTGGAAAATAGGTATACAGATTTATTCTGTCATCTTGACAATCTGTTTTTTCCTTGTGATATTTTAATCCACTTTCCATACTTTCAACATTAACAACTTCTGACAAACTTTTCTTCTCCCATGAAGATAAC